TAAGCAGGGTTGGATTTGCATATTACTTGGATGGGACACCAGGGAAGAACATCCCAAAAGAAGACAATGGCAAACCATATCTGTATTTTGCCAAGGACACTACATTCATAGGTCCATGAAGTTGCCAAGAGTCAAGGCTGACCGGAGGAAGGCTTTACCTTTCATGTTGGAGATGATGCCTCAACTGTAAAATGTCATCAAGGGATCTCTATAAGGGGACTGCTGGGTATGTGTCGTCAGTGGGGCTAGTTAGAATGGGGTGGCCCTGGCAGTAAGGAAGGATGTTTTGCTTTTGTTTTACTGGGATTAAGGCTGACTCTGGAGATAGAGAAGCTAAGTCACAGAGATCCCAGTGGTCAGAAGCTTGAAGAGTAGATGGAAAACAAAGTTTGAGGAATGAGGCAGAATCAGTTTTATCAGCCATGGAGGCATCTCCAAAACAGCTCATCACCGATAGTGGATCATGAACAAGAGACCAGGAATACCATGTGTCACTATTCATCTGCTGTACTCGTTGTGTGAACTCTGAGCTTGCCAGGGCCCAATCTCAATCAGCAGTGGGAGCAAGAAGACCTTACAGCTGCAGAATAAAGACAATTCCAAAAAGATACTTCAGAGCACATAAAGATCTTGAATGGTTGCACTTCTCTGGCACTCCTTAAAGCAGCTGTGTCTTCTCCCAGGTTTGTGTGGCTGTCTCTGCAACTGCCGTGTGATCCTAGGAGAAGATATCTTTGGTTTAAGGACTTACAGACCACTACTGTTAAAGCCTCCATACACTCTGAAGCATATTTCTGGAATGAAGTCCCAAGCACCACACACCCCTTGAAGACAGTAGAAGAGGCTGCTGGGTGGTAATGGATGAGGAAGCACACAACCAAGACCGGCTGTAAAATGCACAAGTGGCATAGGGTATGCTTGTATCCCTTTCGTGAGGAGATTACCAAGAAGGCATTTTGCTGATGCTTCCTCGATGAACTTCAGACCACTCAAGATGCGGGCAGCTGTAAGCACAAAGGAATGCTGGAGAGGTGACAACACCAAAGGACTTGGGATGTTGTAAACGCGATGGTCCTGGAAGGAAGCAACTGGGGAAAATGACATAAGGACCGACGATTAACTTAACCACAGTCTACGCAACCCTGTTCTGGTAGCTTGTGAAGAAGCATTGAGAAGGAAGTGGGATTTGGCAAAAGCTTTAACTCAGCTCTGTGTCTTTTTTGTAGAGGACATTAACAGTTGCACTGAGTATGCTGGAAGTCTAGGGGGGTGTGTGTCTCAGGTATCCTGTTACATGTTTTTAAAGTGAAATGATTTTGAAATTAAAGTGGGACTTTGTTCCCGTTATAAGAAGCTCATGTGAATTGATAAGCCATAATGGTGGCAGTAATTTGCATATTTATTTGGATATTATTTGTAACAGCTTTTTTTTGGGTTCTCATGTTTAATGACACATACCTGGGACCCAGTGGGACTTAGTGCTGAACACACAAATCATCTTGGTGTGTTGCTGTTCCCATCAAGTTATTTGGTCAGGTTAAATCTCTTGGCTCCTGGTGACTTCATGGATACAATCCTACAATTTTTGGCAACGGCACAGATGTTTTGTTGTTCCTGTTGTTTTTCCGTTCCCAATCTGGTCCACCACCCTGGGATTTCCTCGAGTCCGTCCATCCAACTGGGGGCTCGCTACAAACAGGGAGAGAGGGAGTTGCACCTTTAGGGGGGCTTCACTCGTTTTCATTGCCATCCCATTGCAAGCATCTGAAGCGGCCTTCACTCGCAACCGAGAGATCCAGCAGCAATGCCAGCGAACCAACGTGCAAGTTGAATGATGGTATTTTTGTAGGGGTGGCTGGGCAAAGAAAAAAGCTTGTCTTTTCAGCGAAGCCATTCGCTCAGCTACTAACGAAAAGCAAGGAAAGTCTGCATCAAATCCCCCCTCCTTTTTTTTTTTTTTGATAGCCCCGAGTGGCCTAAAAGGTGAGTGTCCCTTTAAGGAACTGAACGTCCGAGAGCAGAGTCCGGCTTCGGCGCCCCAGCAGAAGCCGCAGCGTTGTGCGCGCGCGCGCTGTGCGCGCATGTGGAAGAGGGAAAGCTGTTGGCACGGGCATTGTTCCCTGACGTCACTCAGCCAACGCTGCTGCTGCTGCTGCTGCTGCGGCTGCTCTCAAACTTGCCTTTGTTATTCAGCTCTCCATCTGACACGGCGGCCGGCTGCAAAACGCGGAAGCCGGAGCGTTCCGACACCTGGAGCGGAGCCGCGGCGCCCAGCAAGACCTCTCCGCGCTAGCTTTCCGAGGAGAAGGGGGCGCTTGCGGTTCCGAACGGAGCTCTGGCACCCTCTCCTAGGCCTAATCGCGAGACCGTAGCCACCTCCAGGCAGGGCGGCTTGCACATAGAGTCCCGAGGAGTTCCCCAGGATCCTGGGCGACGGCGGAGAAATTCGTTTGAGATACAAAAGCGTGGGAACGGGGTAGGACCGTGAGGGTCACCTAAGGATGGTGCTTATGCATTAAACATAAGTATTGCGTGATTCACTTCTGGGGATTGACCGGTCGGTGGTCTTTGCGATCCTTGCAGAAAGAGGCGATTCTTAGAAACTTTGCGCGCTGGAACAGGCTCATCCCTGCCTTCTTGGAAGTGGCCCCGAATCACGGGCGGGGTCCTTCTTAACAAAATCTTTGCAAGTTTAATTATGGTTAAGCCTCGTGAGCCCCAGGCCGTCTCGTGAGTAAAACCAGTTAGTGCATTTTTTGACTGCCAGACACGGCGTCTACGGTGCCAGTCGCGAACCGGGCTCCAGCGGCCTTATACCTGCGCCCTCCCGGCTGACTTTCCTCTGGCTTTTCAGAGAAACCTGCATGGTCAGAAAAGGAAGGGGAGGCTGAGACTCAAGGGCGGCTCTTGGACGTGCAGGATGTGGGCTCCCTGGACCCCTGAAGCGAGCCGGCCTCCAGTGCCAAGGGGTAAGAGTGGAGCCCTCACAACAGTACCTCATGTATCTTTGCCAGTAGGCTTTAATCTCAAGTAGCCATCGTCCTGCGTCGCCTTCTCCTTCGGAACAAACCTGAGTTAACTTCCAAGTCCGATTTCCCAAGCATCGAGAGCGAAACGCATATTCAGGGGGGCTTCTGCTGGACCGCGGGGGGAGCGGCTGGGTTGGAAAGCGGCTTGTGAAATGTAACCAGCATGGGAAGGTTCTCTTCTCCACGCCCCTGGGTCTCAGCGAGCAAGACACCGCTGCGCGGGGGTCAATTTTCTGGCCGGAGATGGGTGGGTGGGAACGGGCTGCAAACCCCGCTGGGGGCTTTTGGACACCTCCGAGCCAACCCGAGGCGTCACGCGGCTTCCCCGGCTCTTTTCGCTCAGGCGTTCGAAGAACCCCAACCCCTGCCCCTTGGGGGGCCGGGGTCTGCCGCCTGATGGGGGTGGAGCGCCTCTGCTGGGAAAT